GACTACTACTTTACTAAAGCAGTGCTTGGCAGTGTGTGTGTGGTCAGTATTTTGGGTAAGGTAGCGGAGACAAAGGCCGGTGTTGCTGTCAGCCTCCCGCCCTCTGCCAGGCCTTTCTCTCTGCAGTCGCACAGTGGTCATGGTCGCAGGAGAGCAGAGCCCTGGCCTAGGGCTGGGGCTGAGCAGCAGAGGGAGCTGGAGCCGAGCTCAGGTTCTGCGCTCCGAGGCTGCTGGAGCCCTGATGTCCCTGATCTCCTGCCCTAGAGCTGGAGGTCAAGGCAGCACACAGCCTCTGTAGGAAAAAAATAATTCTCAGATAATTTTTTCTGTGTTTTTACAGTAGTGATCTTGTCCATTAGAGGCAGCCAGTTACGCACTGTATCTGATCCTGCCCTGAATCTCCCAACCAGATTCTCATCCTGAGATGTGACTTTCTTGCCAGCTGGGGGGAGCACAAGCAAAGCTCTCCTCTCTCCCTTTAGAGCAGATGCCAACGTAAAGTCACAGATCACTTGGCAGAGAGCAGCGATACAAAGAAGGAGCCAACATTCCCCCCCTGGGAGCTCAGTACTATTTATCTTCCCTGGGACTTGCCCAGCTTCTCTGGCTCCAAGCCTGGCATTCCAGGTCAGCTCTGCTGAACTGAACTCTGCGAACTCAGTGTGTGTGAGCACAGAATGGCATGTGTGCTGTACGCGCTGCTCAGGGCCCCTCGCTTTCCCTTAAAGACCAACTATTGTGGAATAAGCGGAGTTACTTCTGGGGGGTGTAGGGTGGCTCCAAAAACTCCTAACAAAGCAGTCCCTTTCTGTAGCTGGCTAGATTAAAACCAGTGGCAGAAAGTCATTGCCATCTGACAGCTGTTCAGAGGCATATGGTGGTTTCAGTTCAATTCCCAATTGCCAGCCGTCCCCATCCCAGACGCAGTTGGCACTGACTCCTGGCAGTCATGGCAGAGGGGATGAGCGGTGAATGGGCAGGGGCAACGAGAGGCAGCTTCTTGCCCCCTGAGAGGGGGATGGGGGCTGGGAAGATGCTATGAAACTGCCAGGTTTGATAAAGCTGAATTTCTTTCTCTCTTGCAGTAAACATTATCCCCCCTACTCGCTGAATGTTGCCTCTATGTGGCTGAAATTAGGGAGACTGTATATGGCGCTGGAGAACAGAACGGCTGGAGTTAAAGCTCTGAAGAGGGTATTTATTTCCTGGTTTCGTCATTAATAATACCAGTTCAGGCATGGGATCACTGAAACACTACGTGCTGCTCTGCCAGTGAGCCTGGCTTGGTAGGGAATGCGCCATGTGTTAATATATTTGGTTACTGGATTTTTGGCTCAGTTCTGATTTTTGCAAAGATGTGGTCTAGGACTGTCCTCACATACAAGGGGTCTTACCTTTTCATGGTGGACTTCTGCTGCAGCAGCTGGAGTGAGCATTATGCTCAAACATTTGCCGTGTACGTTCTTCACTGCGCCAGAGCGTACTGGTGTAAATGAAGCAGAACTCTAGCTTCTCCTCGCTTACTAGGTAAAGACAGAAAAAATGCTTGGCTCTTGTAAAAGGCACATAGTGTTTCATTGCCGTCTGTGATTTCTACATCCAAGTTAAACTAGGCATGCTTTTGGTGGTTATTTGTTCTGGAACCAATTGATTTTTAAATAGCTGAAGGGAATTCAATGCATATGGTAATGCTGAAATTGGCAAATACAGCATCTGGTCTTACATTTTTCTTCACCCCTTTTTATTAGTCTATTCTGTATTCTTTAGGGGTTTTTTCTTTTTTTTTTTATTAGCCTGTACCATGTTTCTTGACTCTCTTCTCCTATTGTTCTTGGACAGAAGTTTATTTTAGTTTCTTAAGCATCAGTGACTACTGTAGCATATAATGACTTCGTGTGGAATGTCACGATTTTTTTTTTCTTCCTTTTTAGATGCTGGAAAGTTTATAGCCAGCAATAGCAGAGCCATCCAGCCATGGTGAAAGATACTACAAGAATATATGCTCTAAAATTTAACAGCTACCTAGTTTAAAATTAGCGTAGGTTTTCCTTCGCTGTGGTGCTAAAGCTTTGACTAAAACTGGGATTTGTGCCAGTCGGAACATGGGCTGGGGGAGCTGGGAACTGGAGGTAGATGTGTTGGCATGGTTAACTTCCCAACACAAACATTTTCTAATGACTCACTTCCAAAAGCTGCCTACAGGAACTGCCCAAAGTTATCCCAGCCCCTGATGTTTGGGATTTAGCGAAAAAACAAAACCATTGTTCTCTGTCAGTTTGCAAGCAGCTCATCCAGAAGGCCGCCCTTTCTTCGTCTGGGCAGGAGGGGGAATGGAGTAATTTCTCACTGCTGCTGAGGTGGAACCAGAGGCTCTTCTTGTACTGACTTAACAAATACAAGAGCATAATTCCATAAACATTTCCTGAGGAGAAAATGACTAAATGCTCTTGAGGGCTAGGATGCCACAATTCCTTGCTTTATTGTAGCACTGTGGCATTTAAATATTCTCACATGCATTCTGAACTCACTTCTTTCAAGTCCTGTCTCCTGTTGCCTTTTATTACATCTGTTTGGGGCCACTGCTGTCCTTTTCTCAAGTGGAAATCTTGCCTCTGCACCCAGTCTCCACTGCAGTGTGGATAGCAGCAGGAAAGTGCAGCTCAGCAGGTTTGGCTGCCTGGAGTGGTCACTGTAGGTGAAACAGTAGGGACTCGGGCACAGCACCGTCTGTCCGAATCTGACCAGATCTTGCTTTTGCCTCCATGGTTGCCTAAGCAATGTCTTCCTTCAGAAAGCATGGGTAGCCCCTGGAATGGGTGGAGGGTTTACAGAATCAAGTCTGAAATGCCTTAACATAACTTCTGCAGTAGCCCTGCTCGGCCGTCTGACAGCTGAAGGATAAATTGGTAGGACCAGAGCTCCGTCTGATACTGGTTAAGTCCTCTGCTAGAACATTACCCACCCCACTTGCAGCTTTCTGTCCTGGAGCTGATTGCATTCAAAGTAGTTTTGTCAGGAATATAATTTTGAAAGGTGCTTTGGGATCCTTGAAGATGAAAGATGTATTCTCTGAATGTAAAACCTTTATTACTTAGTTTTGAATTTCATTTTATTTCCTACTGGGTTTATGACTACAAGGGGACAAAAAGTAGCTAGAGGTGTCAGACTGTTTCAAACCTCTAAAGAGAGTATTTATAGCCTGGTGTTATATATGAATCAATTGTGTGAATATTTTTTTTTCTTTTCATAGGCAATTGCTATCATGGAAGTAGCACACGGTAAAGATCATCCATACATTTCAGAGATTAAAAAGGAATTAGAGGACCACTGAGCCTTTGAATCTATGCAGTCCTTCAAACCTTTATTTAAAAAGCCTTGTTATGGAAACCTTCAGGAGCACTTTGAAAAGCAGTAGAGTATGAACGCAGTTCTGTCCTATAATTGGAATGACAAACACACTTAGGCCTTGCAGAACGCTCCTGGTTCCCACAACTCTACAGTTGCCTTTTTTCTTTTTCCTTTTTTTTTTTTTTTTTTAAGGAAGCATCCATGGTTTCTTAAAGGTTATGCCTTTTGACAACTCGTGCAAAAATGCCCTTTTCCTTAATGGATTTTAATGTGTATCTTATTTGTGTAAAGTCAATAAAGTGGTGTTGACCCCTCTTGATTCCACTTGGGCACTTGCAGGGGTGCAGTAGTTTTGTGACATCGATGTTTGCCTGAGTTGCTTCATTCTGACAAATTAATTAGGAAAAGCTGTACTTTTTTTTGGTTAGGGTGCAATTCCTCTTTTCACAAATAATTGTTTGCAGTGGATTAGCTGAAAGAAAGGGGCAATGGGGGTGATGAATTCTGCTCGTTGTGCAGGAAAGCCACCACTGGTCCCTCAGCTACTTCATCTGCAGGCCCAGCACTGCTCCTGGGAGGTGGGGAGTCGTCACTGTAAGGACCTACAGCTCAGCTGGAACCAGTTTGATCAGGTTGGAACGGATTTGAACCAGTCAGAAGAGGTATGAACCAGTTTGGATCGACTGGAACTGGTTTGAACTGGTCAGAACCAGACTGAACGGTCAGAACCAGTCTGGACAGCACCTACCTCAGAACTTGAAGGCTTGCACGAGACAGGAGCTGTGCAACTTCTGGCTTTTTAATCCCCTTTACAAGGTGAAGTGAATTTATTGCAGAGGCAAGCTCGTATTTCCTTATAGCCATACCTTTGCCTTCAGTGGATTAAAACTGTTCTATTAATACATTAGCAATAACATTAATGTATTCATTTTTCTTGTCAAGAAAACCCTTGGCCAGGGAAACAGCACATTTCAGAAAGTCTGCTTCAACATTAAGGACTCAGCTTAGCCCAGCATGAGTAGCCAGCTACCTTGCCCCTCCAAAACCTGGGTTACTGGGTACAGGGGGTTCTTCACCGTGGCCCTGGCTGTGCTGAGCCGTTTCACACGGGACCTTAAGCTGGTAGAGGAAAGAACACAAGTATAGTTTTCCTTGAAAAAAAAGGTTTATTGTATACTGTGAATATGAAGGACAGCCTTACCAAAAAACCTTAGTGACTGAAGACATTCTCATATTTGCAAAAGCTTATAAGAAACTATTTACACAAAGGCAGTGAAAGGGGTAAAAAAATTATTGCAGTCAATTAATGCCGAATAGAACTTTATAAAAAGAGAAAGAAAAGAAACAGTGCAAAAATACTGTCAAAAGTAATCAGTTTTATACACAAGATAAAACTGACAAGCATAAGCTTATGTACTGATATGAATAATACATTAGAATATAAAATAGCATGCATAGATTTATTTTTTTAAAGGCTTTCAATAGGATAGAGTAGTTCTGCCATTCAGCCCTAACAGGAGGGAGTGGGGGGCAGGAAGGGCATGTAACTGATGTCTCATTTCTGTACAAAATGTGTACAGACAATGAGGTGGTGAGATTCAGATCACTGTTTGGTGCTGAACTGTCATGTACAGAATTACAGAACAAATAAAACGGCATCAAAATACTGAAGTAAAACAGGACACTAAAATTCAGTGACATAAAACTTACTTAAACATGTCATTTAACATGTCCCACACAATTATATGTGGAATATTACAGTCATCTGCATGTGTAAACTTTTCTCCTTTGTAAAATAGCCGAATAAAGGTACTTTACTAATGAGGAAAACATGTTTTCCATATGGAGCAATCTCAACAGGGTAAAAATCCTATTAACAGTGTTTCTGGCACTAAAGATCTGCTTTCTTTTAAAGACTGAGTAGCAGCAAGGAATACTTCTTATTTAATGTACACAAAAAGGAAGTTCTTACAGATGTAAGTTGTGGAACTCACCAACGCGGGACATTGTGAAGGCCAGACGAATAAGTGGGTTCTAAAGAAAAGATAGCGCCGTTCCTGGGAGATGGATCCAAACACAGTGAGCAGGATACAGCCTTCACCTCGGGAAGGCCCTAAGCTCTGGTTGTCAGGTGTGCCAGCGGGGCTGAGCACCCTCTTCTGGACTCATTCACTTTCTTCCTTAAGTGGCAACTACCAGCCACTGCCCACAACAGGCTGTGACCTCCAGCCTGCCATGGAAGTGGTTAGTAGGAAGCCTTCCTCTTCCGTTCCTGCCTCATCACAGAACAATCAGCCCCTGAAGTGGCTGGAGCTGAGTGTCCAAAACACTGCGTCCTTACCCAGGTGAGCGGGAAGAGTAAAACTATTAAGCACTGTATTCATTTCAGGGATGAGCTGAAGTATTAGTCCTTCCCTTGCTGTTAAATAGTGCTGGGATTTTTCAGCAAAAGCTGCTATTCTACCGCTGACTTACAGTTCACCCTCCCCAGGCAAAGTCCTGCTGTAGTGGCACGTGGGAAACTCTCACACAAAGCACAGGCATCAAAACTTCAAAGAAACACCAGCCATTAAATGGCTGAAAGGAACCAAGGGAATTGTAGCATAAGATACTCTAAAAACACTGAAAAAAATTATTTACTTTCAAATATTTATATAAACACTGCTATTTCTGACCTGTGCACTGTTCTGTTTCCCAATCTAGCAACAGTTGATGGCCAAGACCTCCATCTTCTGGTGTCTGCCCAGCAGCCCAAGCAGCCAGCTGTTCCCTTCCTCCAGTCCCAGTCCCTGCAAGCCCAGGCCACCTGCCGTGGCAGCTACCATGTCCTCTCCTCTCTAAAGACTCAGATGGCATTTGTAGTTCCCACAGCACCAGATTCTACAAGAAAAAACACCAGAGGGCTAAGAAACAAGCTGGGGAAAACTGCCTTTGGGGTTTTGGCCTTGCAACCTTTCTCGTTAGCATCAGAATCCATACCCCAAATCCCCATGACTGGACTAGACATGAGGAGATTTAGATCCATTTTTAGAGAGGGGTGACAAATGACGTTTTCAGGCAGTGCTTCCCTTTCAAGGTCAGTTCTGGGTATTTGTTCCTTTAACATGATGCATCCTGTATTTCCTGCAGTGGGTGCCACCCTGGCTCTCTGGATGTAAAGCATTCCTTTCCGTAAAGCAGCAAAATTCAACTCGGACCTCTCTCGGTGATGCACGAGAGCTGCTCCAGCAGGTATCAGCCGTACGGACACTTCTGCTGCCTGAGCACACAGTTCACAACGTGTTGGCGAAACTGACAGCAGCTAATTCAGTCGTCACCTCCGCCCAGGGGAGCGGTGGGAAGTCAGCTGTTGGGAACGCAGCATGGGCAGTAGCTGCTAGTTTGCGTGCTATAGCCAGCCCAGCAGCAGTTACTTTAGAGTCGCTTGTGGGCTACATGGACATGGCGGGTATTAGATCAAAAAATAATGTTTTAGCTTAACGTGACCATCTCTCTTGAAGCATTGAGACTTACTCATTCTTTTCCAGCCTATGGTTCGCCATTTGCATTTCTGTCTGTTTACAAGAAAGTCATTTAAAAAAAAACCCTCTTGAAATCATGCAAATATTTAATAATATTTGTAGCTGAGGCAACTGATTTAAATAAGTAGAACAGAAATGTCCTTCAATATATCTTCTTATAAAGGCCTGCATCAGCAATAGGTTAAGTTCTCACGGATGTGTCTCCTGCCAGCTGGAACTAGTTTAGGGAAAAGGTATTTCCAAAGGCTGAGCATTAAGGGTCCCTATATACCTGCACAGGAGAAAGTTTGTGGGATCAAGCTTCATCCTTCCTCAGGTGATCACGGCCAAGAGGTGCCAAAAGCAGGCTTGGGGAGGAGCTGAACAAGTAGGACCTGAGCAGCTAACGTCCACCATCCTCCAGTGTAGCCTTGGAGGGAGGAAACAGGATGGCCGCAGCACTAAGGAGTGTCAGAACTTGCCTGTCATCCCTCCCATCCCTGATGAGACAACGTGAGACATGAAATGCTCAGACTCTAACCAAAAATTTGATGCCAGCAATCTCTATACTATCAGTGATTAAGAGTTTAAAAGGAAAAAAAGGGGGGGGGGAGGGGTTAAATTGCAAAATTAAAGTTAAGAGTTTAAAAGGAAAAAAAAGGGGGGGAGGGGTTAAATTGCAAAATTAAATACAGATTAAGAGTTCACAAAATTGCAAATACACAATGGATTCCTAAGCCAGACTGACTTATCCACTCCAAGTTCTCTCTCAGAAAGAGGAAGCGTGGGCTAAACGTGCCAGACTGCACCGTGGGCACCTTGGACCAGACTGCTTGTGTCAAACGTTCTAAGGTGCAGCTCCATTTATTCACCACTGATGCATCTCTCCGAGATTTTCAATCCAAACTTGACTCCACATGGATGAAAGTGGTCTCTTGGAACCTTCCCACTGTCATGCTTTGAAGTTCAAACAAACAAACACTAACCACATGCAACACAACAGACAGCAACTCCAAACTGTCCTTCTTTTCCACAGAAGAACTCTGCTGTTAAAAGCCTGTGGGACAGAAACTAAACAATACTGGTGCTTTAAGTCCCATGCGTTCATTGCTGCTATGACTAATGAAATGGGATGCAAAATGCATTTTCCTGTCACTCCCTAAAGGTTAGGAAATACTGCCCAAGCAATTGAGGCCTGATAAAGCCACAACAGGTTCAAAGTCAGAAGGTTCAGTTTTTCCCCTACAAAACTGTATCGCATTTCAATCGTAAAACATCGGCGTGCTGGGGCTGGGGTGGGAAGGAACCTCTGAAGACATGCACCAGCCCAATTCACTGATGATATTAGTAAAGATAAAATCTAGCAGGAAAAAATACATTGAAGTCAGATGAAAGGAAAAATCTAAAATTACCATTCTTTGACAATGAAAGGGAAAAAGTGAGTCACATTGGCCTCCTATCTACCCTACCAGCCACAGTAGGAGTTAATTGGAAATGACTGTTTACTATGTGGCCACTTATTTGGCTCATTAATAGGCACTGACTTAATTTGGAAAGGATTCTTGGTGCCATTTTGTAATTAATATTTTTCTAAGACACCTATGATGCATCTTTGCATAAAAAACATTTGCTTAATTTTCTTCCTTTCAAACACATCTCTTTACATTCTCTGATGCAGTAACTTTCCGGTGCTCATTGTAGGAACAGAAGTCTCTATTTCAGCCAAGAGCAGCTGAATCATAAGACAGAGGAACAGATTCCTTTCCCTCTTGATTTTCTACTTCTCACATCCAAGTGGAGCGATGGGACTTGACAGCTC